TACCCTCCCCTTGATCTCTTCGTTCTGCTTTCCCTCTCCTTCCTTATAGACGCCTCTGCCTGCACTGAGATGTTAAGACAGGCTTTGTGACAAGAGTCTCCCATCTTTTCAGGTGACCTGCACTTGAATAAACCTCTTTCCTTTTTCACCAGCCTCTGTCTCATGAGTTTGGCTTTCATGATGGCAGGCAGCCGAACCTGGGTTCTGGTTACAGTATTTAGAATGTTGTACAGAAAAATCAATTATTTATGAATTAATTATCAGTATCATCTTGTTGGGGATATTACCCCAGAAACCAATCCAGAGCTTGGTGGAATATTTATTGAATATTAACTAAGGGCATTGGATTATGCTAAGTACTTTATCTCATCTAACCATCAATCCTATGAGGTAGGTGCACTTGCTATTCCCCCATTACACCTAAAAAACGAATGTTCTGGTTAATTGAGTAACTTTCCCATCATTGCGTGGCTGTTAATGTCAACTGGAATTGAAATTCAGTCCATCTAATTCAAAAGTATGAAGACATTGTTTATCATCTTACCATCCTAATTGCTTAGAAATCAGTACTTTGCATAATATTACATCTTACTGTATATGCAATTGAGTCATGTTATTAAGTACTGCTGTGGTATTGTAACAGTCCCCATCATTCTTGTGACCTTGTTTCTGTAAATGCTGACTGACTATTATGTAGCATATAGATGAATACCATCCTATATAATAAAAGCCCAGCGACTGAATGGCGGAATGACCAGAACGACTGGTCGACCAGTTGCTATGACACACACTGACCACAAGGGGGCAGATGCTCAATGCAGGACCTGCCCCCTGGTGGTCAGTGCGTTACCACAGTGGGAGCTCCGCTCAGCTGACTGGGATGAGTGGTTGCTCCCCCTGTGAACCCTGGGCCAACGGGCAGAAACCTGGGCTGCGATCGTTGCCTCTTTGCCCCAGGCTCTTCCTCCTCGTTCCCTGCCGCCTCCTCCAAATGCCCGCAGACTGTGTAGTGCTGCCACCAGGCTCGCAGAGCTGACCCCGGTGGCTGGGAGGCAAGTTCATGGCCGCCGTGGGACTGAGGCCTACTCCACCGCCTCTCAGTGTTATTGTCCCTAGGCCTGGCCCCGACCGGGTACCCTGGAGAGGCGAGTGCCTCTGGCTCCACGGAAGATGCCGATCCAAGGAAGCAGCTGCTCAGAGGGCGGGTCTACAGTCACTCAGCTGTCTGGGATGAGCGGTCCCACAGCGGGCCGATCCCTGCAGGCCACTACCCCCACTAGTGCGAATCCCATGCACCGGGCCTCTAGTGTTTGTATAAGCATCTTAGGCACTAACTCCAGACGTTACAGACCCTGACCTTCAGTCCTCGCAGCTCTAGGAGAATTGCTGACTTTCAATCGTAGAACCAGGATGACGAAGACCAGGATGATGCACAGTAGACCATCATTTGACCAGTTTCAAGGTCCTTATGGGAATGGACTGTGTTGGCCTGTGCGTAGAGAACTTTTCATACCCTCCCCTTGATCTCTTCGTTCTGCTTTCCCTCTCCTTCCTTATAGACGCCTCTGCCTGCACTGAGATGTTAAGACAGGCTTTGTGACAAGAGTCTCCCATCTTTTCAGGTGACCTGCACTTGAATAAACCTCTTTCCTTTTTCACCAGCCTCTGTCTCATGAGTTTGGCTTTCATGATGGCAGGCAGCCGAACCTGGGTTCTGGTTACAGTATTTAGAATGTTGTACAGAAAAATCAATTATTTATGAATTAATTATCAGTATCATCTTGTTGGGGATATTACCCCAGAAACCAATCCAGAGCTTGGTGGGACATGGTTTTTTTCTCCCTGATCATAATTCTTCTTTCTGTGGTAGAACGTTCCTCTTCCTGTCTGACTTCTACTCATTCTTCAGGTCTCAGCTTAAACAAAAAGTCCTTCCAGAAATGTGGGCCATGCCATTGAGTCATTTGCCTGAATTTCTGATTTAAGTGCATCTCGTGGATGTGTTTAAATAGCATTCTACTTTGTGGTTTTCCAGCTGGTGGTAATATCAGTCAGGACAAACCCCCAAGTGTCTTCTCTAGTTGTAATTTCCCACTCTCTTACTGATTCAAACAACCCGAATCACTACCTTCTAACCACACCTTCTCAGATTTCACAGGTCAACAGCCCTAAGCCTTTAATTGAAGTAATTTCTCATAGGAGACCCAGGACACAGCTACTCCTACAGACTAATGAGATTACATGGTGGCCAAAATGCTGCCTCAATTTTTTAATAGTAATTTCCTGTAGCTCAAGGATTGGCAAACACTTTGCATTCAGGGCCAGACAGTAAATAGTTTAGGCCCGGAGAGCCCGTCCTCTGTGCTGTAAGTCAGTCCTGCCCTTGCGGCTTGAAAAGTAGCACAGACAATACGGACGTGAACCCCATGGCTGGTCCTTACACTTCATCGTGGACATGGAGGCCTGAAGGTCATTTACTGTTCATGGGCCATGAAATACTCTTCTTCCGCTTTTCCAATATGCTTTCCAACCATTATTTATAACCTCGGACCTTCTCAGTCCATCGGCTGCACAGAACAAACCCCAGGCCAGAGTTGCTCACCTGCTCTGGGTGCTCAAGAAATGCCTATATATTTCTTGGTTGTGACCAATCCTGGGCTTAACCAGGAGAACGTTCTCTAAGAAGCAGCTGCGTGAGTCTTTACGATCCTGGGTATTTCACATGGATGTCCTGGCATATTTTCAGACATGTTTCTCCAATCCTGCCCATGAGAGAGATGAAGTACAGTGTTGGGGGTCCCCTCCGTGACACACCCTCATCCATAGCTCCTCAGCTGCCGTGGGACTCGCCGCCCTGTCTAGTCCAGTCGCAGACCATGCTCCCTCCCACACAGAGCTGCTGCAACCACGGAAACACTGAATCGTCTGCTGCGATTACCCAGCTACCACCTTACGCTTTCCAAACTAGACAGGAGCAACTGATTCAAACAACCCGAATCACTACCTTCTAACCACACCTTCTCAGATTTCACAGATCAACAGCCCTAAGCCTTTAATTGAAGTAATTTCTCATAGGAGACCTAGGACACAGCTACTCCTACAGACTAATGAGATCACACGGTGGCCAAAATGCTGTCTCAATTTTTTAATAGTAATTTCCTATAGATCAAGGATTGGCAAACGCTTTACATTCAGGGCCAGACAGTAACTAATTTAGGCCTGGAGAGCCCGTTCTCTGTGCTGTAAGCCAGTCCTGCCCTTGTGGCTTGAAAAGCAGCACAGACAATACGGACGTGAACCCCATGGCTGGTCCTTACACTTCATCGTGGATGTGGAGGCCTGAAGGTCATTTACTGTTCATGGGCCATGAAATACTCTTCTTCCGCTTTTCCAATATGCTTTCCAACCATTTATAACCTCGGACCTTCTCAGTCCATCGGCTGCACAGAACAAACCCCAGGCCAGAGTTGCTCACCTGCTCTGGGTGCTCAAGAAATGCCTATATATTTCTTGGTTGTGACCAATCCTGGGCTTAACCAGGAGAACGTTCTCTAAGAAGCAGCTGCGTGAGTCTTTACGATCCTGGGTATTTCACATGGATGTCCTGGCATATTTTCAGACATGTTTCTCCAATCCTGCCCATGAGAGAGATGAAGTACAGTGTTGGGGGTCCCCTCCGTGACACACCCTCATCCATAGCTCCTCAGCTGCCGTGGGACTCGCCGCCCTGTCTAGTCCAGTCGCAGACCATGCTCCCTCCCACACAGAGCTGCTGCAACCACGGAAACACTGAATCGTCTGCTGCGATTACCCAGCTACCACCTTACGCTTTCCAAACTAGACAGGAGCAAAGTTAACTGTGCTTTGCAGTGGTGCACATTCACGGGCACTGCTTCCCACTTTCAGGAGGGCGGTGGCCATGGTTCAGTGCTAACAGTGGGTGGTGTGGATAAGCCAGCACGTCTATACGTTTTTATGAACCCTACATCCAACAGAACGCTGAGGTGCTATTACTTATTTTGTTATGGTTTGAGATCAAAAAGGAAAGTGTGAGTGAGTTTTGTGAAATAAAGTGGTAACTTAGGTGACCATTCGTTTAAGGAATTCTCACGTAGATGTTTCTGTTGCTTTTTGAAAAATTAAGGCATGAAAGATACATGTTGGCAATTTACCCAGAGAGTTTCATCATCACGGACTTTGAGGTGATGAAATGCGCCCGGGCCCTAAGTCCATGCCTGGTGGTTCCCAGTCGGGCCCACACCCAGGTTGTGGGTTCCGTCCCCAGTAGGGGCTCCTATGGGAGGCAAGGGAACAATGTTACTCTCTCACATCCATGTTTCTCTCTCTCTCTCTCTCTCTCTCTCTCTCTCTCTCTCTCTCCCCCCTCCCCCTTCCTCTCTAAAATAAAATAATAATTATGATAAAAATGTTTTTTAAAAATTGTCAGTTGAAATTACAATGAATTGTAAGAAAAGAAGTTTATTTAAACTTGTAAGCAATTACATTGGACCGCAGTGAGGAGGTCACCACAGGCAAGTGACCTACGTGTTTGGAGCTACGTGCCCAAGTTCATCCTAGGACGGCTGTGAAAATGGTCCCGACCTGCTGGGCCCCGGTGGGTCCCGAGGACGCCCAGCGTCTCTGGACTGCACTCCGAAAGTCGCTGTGGCCCACTGATTCCAATGTCACTTTATAATATAGACCAGTGGTTCTCAACCTTCTGGCCCTTTAAATACAGTTCCTCATGTTGTGACCCAACCATAAAATTATTTTCGTTGCAGCTTCATAACCGTAATGTTGCTACTGTTATGAATCGTCATGGAAATATCTGATATGCAGGATGGTCTTAGGCGACCCCTGTGAAAGGGTCGTTCGACCGCCGAAGGGGTTGCGTCCCACAGGTTGAGAGCCGCTGATGTAGGCCTCACAGACCGTGTTCATGCGGGAGAACATTTTCATGACAATTAGTGCACCAAGGATGTGTTTGCTTCTTTTCACAGGGCCCGTCCTGCTGGGACGACGTCCTGATCCCGAAGCGGATGAGGGGTGAGTGCCAGTCGCCAGGCTGCCCCGGGACAAGCGCGGTAAGTACCTGCCGCTCCCCGTCTGTCAGGGTGGCATCTCCCATGTTCACGAGGAAATGACCCGAGAGACAAACATGCCGGCTTTTCTCCCGTCCGAGAACATTCGCCAAAAGTGGTGCAAGATTCGGAAGTGTCTCTAACATTCACTCACCCAAACGTCTCCGTGTCACTGCCTTCCAGGGTCACCTTCCTAGGGACCGCGCCGCTCTGGGTGACTATGGCAGAACTCGACAAGTTGACTCCTTACAGCAGTGGTTCTCAACCTTCCTAATGCCGCGACCCTTTAATACAGTTCCTCATGTTGTGGTGACCCCCAATTTCATTGTTACAAATTGAACATAATTAAAGCACAGTGATTAATCACAAAAACAATATGTAATTATATATGTGTTTTCCGATGGTCTTAGGCGACCCCTGTGAAAGGGTTGTTCGACCCCCACAGGGGTCGAGACCCACAGGTTGAGAACTGCTGCCTTACAGAGTGATAGTCATGGGATGTGAACAAGAAGGGGTCAGGCCTGGCAAAGGAAAATAACAAAGACATGGTGTGGATGTGTTTCCTGAAGCCGCGATACTTGTACTGCGTCCCGTGTCACTCAGCCACGCTCTTGTTTGCCCCTCCGCCTCCGGTGGCGGTTTTCTGACACCGGGCACTGCACGCAGGTAGAAGGGTGACCAGCTCCCCGGGAGCCACCCCTCTGTCCCCGTGCCAGCGGGCGCCCCAGGCTTCCTGCAGAGCAGGTGTTTCTCCAGAGAGACCCTGAGCACTGCAGTCACCTTAGAAGCAATTCTATTATTATGGTCACATTTGCAATTTGCCTGTTATACCTTTTACCTCGAGAGTCCCCGGGGCCATCACAACCTGAGGATATGTTTTCTGAGCCGTGAATGCGGCCTCGGTGCCAACACAAATGGCACTGTGAGTTCACAGACGGCTGCGGCCAGCCGGCTCGTGTCTTCTCCAGGAACTAGGTCTGTCAGTAGCAACAGGTGCGGCGTTGGGGCTCGATCCTCAGACGCCTCCTCTCCCGCCTGCGGGTGGCGCGGATACCGAGCAGCAGGGAGCATGTGACGTCCCTCTCCATCGGGCTGGGCTGCTGCTGATGCAAATCCTGAACAAGTCAGTGACTCCGTGTCACTGCCCACAGCAGTCACGCTTCATTCAGTCTTGGGTTTGCTGCGGGATGAAATTAAAGGGCATGTTTTGCAGGGAGAACTCTTAAGTACAGTTACCTGCAAGCGCGTGCACACAGATGCAGTATGTGTATCATATAGTGCACACTAGAGGCCTGGTGCACGACATTCGTGCATGGGGTGGGGAGGGGTGTCTCTCAGCCTGGCCTGCGCCCTCTCGCAGTCCGGGACCGGGACTAAGCCTGTAGGTGGACATCCCCCGAGGGGTCCTTAGTGCTGCCGTGGAGGTGGGAGAGGCTCCCACCACCATCGCTGTGCTCACCAGCCGTGAGCCGGCTTCTGGCTGAGCAGTGCTCCCTCTGTGGGAGTGCACTGACCACGAGGGGGCAGCTCCAGCATTAAGCATCTGCCTCTTGGTGGTCAGTGTGCATTATAGCAACCAATTGTTCTGCCTTTTGGTCAATTTGCATATTAGGGTTTTATTATATAGGATGATATGCAGATGTAACTACCTCTAATAATAATGATGGTAGACCATATCCTCTGGTGTGCGTAACGCTGTGGTCTCCATAGCATCGCTACAGCAGTGGGAGGGTCTTTGGAAATCTCCTCCCATCAAAGCCAGTCTGCCTGCCTCTCGTACCTTGAGCTTAGTTGGCAGGATTGGGTCACAGAAGAGTAGACAGTTCTGCATCCGTAAGATTTAGCTCAAATCGGCCAAAGGGGGAACTGTGGGGGGAGAGGGGGGAGGACATCATGGCTGTCGCTTGTTGCATCTCCCACTCTCCTGGGTTATCAGGGCAGAGGATTCCGTATAAATCAGGTGACAGTGCAGCTCTGGTCCTGCCCCCAAACCCTTCCCACACCCCATCTACAAACCTGGATTAAACGCAAGCACGTGTTTGTGAAGGATGGCTGTGCTGACAACAGTGAAAAAAGTTTATGCACCAGGAATTCAGAGAAGCTGGACTTCAGAGAGGATATCTATAAACTGCATCTACTGATGGGGGTCGGGGGGTGGGGGGGGAGCCTCAGACAGCAGAGGTCACAGTCAGGTCAGGGCTCAGCAGGGGGAGGGAACCCAGATCCCCACACAGAGCAGCACCCTCCTGGATCAGCTGCGGAGGGCTGGGCGCTGCTGCCTGGTTTATTCGGGGTGCAGGTGAAATGTCCCTCCTTAGAACTGTGGGCACAAACCCATCTTCCCAAGTTGGGGGGGGGGGGGAGGCATTACTTAAAGGGAGGCTCTCTAGCTTCCAATAAAAGATGTGATAACCCAGAAAGATATAGTAGTTTAGAAATGACATCATGTTAGTAACGTGAACTTAAAAATATATTAGGGCCAATTGTCAGAGTTCACGGATCACGTGGACAAGTCTCCCACCACTTTGAGAGAGAAATGTGACTGACTTGCTGAGGGTGTGAGCTCCAACAGATGAACTCAGAAAGGACGGGGCCGACTAACAGCCAGCGGACCGGTCGCCCCCCTGAGCACTGTCCCCCAACCCCGCCAACAAGGACACCCCACGTTTCCAGTGCGTTTGCAACCCCTGATCGTGTTCCAGGGCACGAAGGCATTTAAACATCACTAACCAACACATAGCCATGAGAAGTCTCTTAAACGTGGAAATTCAATCACTTAGTCAATAAAAAATAGCCACATGGAACTATGGGATTAAGCAATGATGAAAAGGTACCACACATCAGTTCCTTTGGGAGGCACCTGAATTCGTTTTTAGAGGGAGTATTTAATATCACAAATGCTATTTAATTAAAAAGAGGATAACATTATTTAAACATATTATAAGATAGAAAAAGAAATGGTCACATCCAACTCTGTTCCCCACGTCTAATGAGCCTGACTAAACGCTGGTGGGATACAGGCAGTGCGTGCGCACTCCTGGGGCGGGGCGGGGCAGGGGGCCAGTGCGGACGGACATGAATTCCGCAGTCGTTGCTCTCGGAGCCTCTTCTGGAGCGTGTGGAGGGCAGCGACCTGCACGCCAGGCTCCTGTGTCCTCTGCTGTGTGCGGGGGGTGCTCCTTCCTGAAGGAGGTGCGAAGATAGGCACTTTTAAGTCTTTTATCTTACTTAAGTTTGCCAGGTATTTTGAATTTTAGACAGTATTTTTGACATGATATGTTATATTCTCATAAAAAAGTGTAATTTCTATGACTTGTATAAATATCCATATACTTAAAATTCAAAAGAGCAGGGTTCCCAGTGTAGTCTTAATTAATATTTATGTACTTAGATACTCTCACCAGCTCATTTGAAACAGCAGTGCCATTTAACCTTGGTTTTTAGAGTACAAATATAAGCTTGACCTTCACACAGAGAAACTGAACTGCATCCAGGTTCACACTAATTGGTGTCATCGTAGGACAGCACAGCATTGGTTCTGAAAGGCGTCTCACTTTATGAGAAGAACTTTTTGGTCAATTCAAAGAGTATGGGCTTGAGGTTAAAAGGGGGGAAATTGATAGGATATTCTCCATTAGGGAGATTAATTCAACTTTGGAAATGATGTAAAACTACATTTTCTGTGTAAATCTTCATTTTATATTTTACCTACGATACCTTAGACAATGAAGATCTTTGTGTCTGTACATGTGCTGGGGGGGTGTTATTTTTTTATTTGCACACAGAGGCTAGGGCAAACCCAGAAGTCCTCCTCTCTGGGCCTTATTCCTAAATTCCACATCATGTCTTTAAAAAATATTTTTATTGATTTCAGAGAGGAAGGGAGAGGGAGAGATGGAAACATCCATGACTCGAGAGGACCATCGATCGGCTGCTTCCATTTACCACTCTTCAAAGTAATCCATGGCCACGGTCACCCTTGCTGAGGGGTGTCGGTGTTACTATTTCACAATCAGTAGCATAAATCACAGTTTATATTTTGAGAAGTAATATTTACCAGAAGTGTCATGTAAAATGACATTTTCTTTTTTAGATTACTTGATTTTGACAGGAGTCAGAGTCTTTACATAGAACTTTTTCTTGTCAGAAACAGTTGAGAAGGGCCTCTTAAAATAGCTCACTGATTTATTTCAAATAAAATTAGACTCTAAAAACTATCCCCTGAACTATAATCTATACTAATAAAAGGGTAATATGCTAATTAGACCAGACGTCTTCTGGATGTCCTTCCGGACAAAGCCACGATGGCGGGGGCCGAGGCAGAGGTAGTTAGGGGCGATCAGGCCAGCAGAGGAGGGCAGTTAGGGGCGATCAGGCCAGCAGGGGAGTGGTTAAGGGGAGTTAAGGCCAGCAGGCAGAGACAGTTAGGGGCAATCAGGCTGGCAGGGGAGCAGTTAGGGACATCAGGCCACCAGGCAGCATGATTAGGGGCGATCAGGCAGGCAGGCAGGCAAACGGTTAGGAGCCAGTGGTCCCAGATTGTGAGAGGGATATCTGACTGGCAGTCGGACATCCCCCAAGGGGTCCCGGATTGGAGAGTGTGCAGGCCGGGCTGAGGGACTACCCCCCACCCCGGCCTCGTGTACAAATTTTGTGCACCAGGCCTCTAGTAAATAGCATAATTAGTAAACTCAATACAATAAATGCAGAACTCCTATTTCACTCCCCATGCAGCTTACCTCCCTCCTGGTCCGCAGCGGACTGGGTCCTGCCCCAGGAACATCGGTCGAAGGGAGTCATACTCGGGTCTGTATCTCAGATTCATCCCCTCGGGAGATGCTGACTAAAATGACATGCATAGCGAGTGAGAGGCACCCACGGGAAACCACCGTTACTTATAAGGCATTTCCTTATTTTATGTCCCAAAGCTCCTCGTCAGTGTTTCCGTTTCATGGCGTTGCTTTCCCCGGGGCCTGCGTTTCTCCTGGTGGTTTTTATTGTCC